AACTATTCAAAGAATCAAGGAAACATTCTTTCACCAAAATTAACTTCTTATGAACTCACCAGCTTTAATGCTGATATTTTAAAACTGCTTGTATTCTCAGGGCTCAATCGGCAGTACTTTTGCCAACTTTTGGAGAAGAAGGAACATCCTGAAGTCACATCTTTTACTTTTGCTATATATACTAACATGTATAAACCATGTTTTTAAACAAATGTTAAATATTCTTATTATAATGTAATGGTTGTGTTTACTACTATGCTTACTATGCACAACTGTGTGATACTACCCATGACGTCCTCCGCCCCGGAACGTTTCCGCCTTCGGTTTCGGGGTGTGACACGATGCGTGCATGCGGTCAACGCCACGCTTTTGGTCAACATCAGAGTACGTTGGGCTCAGCTCTCTTGATACACAGGGCGGCCCATTGGGAAGAGATATTGACTTTTGGACCTTGATCATTTGACTTCGACTTTGACCAAGTTTTACAAGTTGGACCTTGAGGTTATTTGGTATTGGGAGTTTTAATTGTGTTTGGTCATTTGGTTGGAGGAGTAGTTGTTGTTTGAGAGCTGGGATTTAGAGTCAGGACCTCATCAGCTTTTGTCCGATTTGCGAGGTGAGTTTCCTTACTGTACCTTTGGTCGAAGGCACCAGGTCGGCCCTTTTGGATTGTTATTGGTTTATCGCCTGATTGTCTGATGTAGTTGTAGTGATTCATAGAGTATATTTTTCGTTTCTTATCTGTTTTCGATGTTCTTTATAATCCACGTGAAGGTGAGAACTTACTCTACACATCTTTTAAATGATATCTATTGACGTAATATGGGTCTTAATTTATTAGTCACCAACTTGGCCCAAAAAATATAAAATACCAATTTTACCCTTTTGGCCAAATGTATCTTCTCATGCATTTTTTCTATATAACTTACTCATCTAACTTCTTCTTAGTGACTTAAACTTATCTTGGCCATTTTCATGAAGTTACAACTTGATATCTCATCTTTTTTCCGTAAATGACCAAATTGCCCTTCTGGTCAATATTTAGCTGAAAGTCACTTACTCAAATTTCATGTCCTTATATTAAGGGTTAACATTTGGAACGGGCCGACTCTTGGACCGAACCGGTTTTGTAGAAATTGGTGGACCTTGGACCGGACCTGTTGAGGCTTACCAGGCCATGTCTTGGTCTGGTTCCTAGTTCTTAGATGTAAAAAGTGAGCATTTGGACTGAACCGAACCGAACCTACTCTTGGACCAGAATGTTTTGCATAAATTGATGGACCGTAGATCAGACTTGTTGAGGTTTACCCGGTCAAGGTTTAGGTCTGGTTCTCGGTCTAGATGTTCAAATGCTCACCCTTACCCAGGACTTGCATAAGCGATGTCACAACTCAACTAATAGGCATGACACCAAGCTTATTAACATCACCAATACTTGTTCGAAATCATTTGAAAACAATGATTACATATATATCAAGCATTTACACATGGTGACTATTTTTTCACTATTTATTTCGTTTAACCTTACGTATGACACTAATTATTCATATACAAAACATATATTACACAAAACCACTTTCTTTAAATTAATATTTATGTTTATAAATAAAAATAGTTAATATAAAGGTAATTATTTCCAAAGCACATGTATTAATATTCAAGACGAAGCTCCCTAAGCTCCCTAAGCTCCGTGCTCATAAAACAAAACAAGAGTCAAACGTTTACTTGTCCATGAACCTTAAAATTTTGTAAAAATATCTCGTACGGTAAACTATTGTAGGGTCAGGATTCCACAAGAGTTTTTGACATCCTAAATCTGACCGATAATTAAACACTTTCGACTCAGTAATTTTGTTACATTAAATACATCGGACACCTTATATAAAAATATATAAATCGGGGGATGGATAATAGATGGCTTTAAAACAAATACATTTTGTAAAATAAAAGCGACTTTGAGAAATCCTGCAAATGAAGTTTAAATTTGGGGACTATATCTGCAAAATGGAACATAATGAGATAGCTCGGGTCACTCGATTGCCTAGTCATCAATCCGTATGATACCTTCTCACCCACTAGGAATCAAGATGGCGTCGCTATATAATCAAATCATCGGATCTAAATTCCACCACCGACAGCTTGTCAATTTTAACCTAGTATCTTATCGTACTCTAGCAAATTCTTCTGTTTCACAAGATGGCGCCAACAAAGGGTGACAAGAAGACGGCCGAGAAGAAGCCATCGACAGCAGACAAAGAAGCCATTGAAGGCCGAGAAGAAGCTTTCCTTAAAGAAGGCGTTTCAAGTGCCGGAATAGAGAAAAAGAAGAAAAAGAGCCAGAAGAGCGTCGAGACATACAAGATCTACCTTTTCAAGGTTTTGAAACAAGTTCATCCTGATTATCGGCATCTCTGGAAAAGCCATGGGGATCATGAAATAGTTTTATCAGCGACATCTTCGAGAAGCTCGCTCAGGAATCGTCTCGTCTCGCTCGTTACAATAAAAACCGACAATCACTTCTCGTGAGATTCAGACTGCTGTTAGGCTAGTGTTGCCTGTGAGTTGTCGAAACACGCGGTTTCTGAGGGTACTAAAGCTGTTACTAAATTCACCAGTTCCTAGATTGATGTTAGAAATATAGAGATTTTTTTTTGTGTGTGATTGGATCAATGATATTCTTCAAGAAATCTAGGGTTTCTTGAATTTTCCATGGTTGTATTCATATGAGTTTGATAATCGATACTCTTTACTCAAAATCAAGATCATTACGTTACGTATGATTTCTTTGAACTAGATTGCCTTTGGTTGTCATTAGAGGCAACTGCTGATTGAATTAGGTCCATATGAGTTTGATAATCGATACTCTTTACTCAAATCGATAGAGCTGCGTCATATTATTTTACTCAACTGACAAATGAATCATTATATTCATATATGGTTATCTCAACGTCTTTGTTTTTTTGGAGCATGAAGAGTGCATCCAGTTATATTCATGATCCCCCATTCGTTACAATTAATTTCAGTTATTGGTTGATGTTGAAGGACGTTGGGTCTTAAAACACCTTTATGTATGTTGCAGGAAATTAATAAATCTTCATTGGATTACCTGTCTCATCAGACCAAAATAAATTCTCAATCTCCTGAAAAATATATTGGCAAGTCTGCAACATTTCTTCTCCTGATGACAACGTTATATCTGTTGATCCATCAGGCTGCAGTTCCATATCTTCCCTGTAAGCATTCAGTATTCAGCGCAACTATATTTTTTGTTATATGTATCAGTCATTCAGTGTACCTTGTAAGTCTGATTTTTGTCGTGCTTTGTATTGTGTTTTGTATCAAGACCCATTTGAAGGCTATATCTGCCATGAAAGGTAGCCGTAAGAACGGGGAGTGGTTCCAGAAGTGAAGTGAGAGTCAAATGGGCTCCAGATGTATATGATCCGGTTCCGAGAAAGGACAAGCCTTTAAGGCGTATAAGAAAGAAGAATTCAAAGGGTGTTTGGCAAAACTTATTAGAAAGAGTTATGACTTTTTGACTTATAACTTATTTCGTGAAATAATGAGTTTTTAATAAGTAAATGGTAGGTTACTTATCACTATTTAACTTATTAGAGGTTACCAACATTTATAAGTTGTTTTTTACCTAAACTTTTTTTTTGGCTTACCGGTATCAAACAGGAGCAAATCCTCACCAGGAAGTAAACGTATCTCTAAGAAACATCTCAAATAGGGTTGCATAAAGGTTGTAAGTGGCTGAGGTGGAGTGGTATAGTTTTATTTATTTATTTATTTATTATTTATTTTTAATAATGAAGTAGAGTGATAGGTTTTGGAGTTCTATGATCATACAATGGTTGTAAGGATTTTTTTCCCGATAAATATATAAAGAATGAGATAGATCTAAGGTGAGGTGGAGTGGTATAATTTTTTTATGAATCAGAGAGATTTTAAGGCTCATCGGGTGGATTGGCATCCTCGGAAAACACCGGGCGAGGTCTCAGCATGCTGAGCTCGTTTGACATCTCGGTGATCTTTCACCGATGAGAGAGAAAGTTATTTTTTGTTTACCCATTAACTTAAATTCTTTTTTTTTTTCAAAAAATACATTCTTTTCAGAAAAAAAAAACAATCAATTTAAAAAATATAACCTTTTTTTTGTCAAAATTTCAAATTTTAAATCCTCAGTCTCCAACTATAAATACCATTATCCTTATTCATTCTTCATCCCCTTCAAATCCTCTCAATTTAATTCTCCTAACTTTCTTATTTTTCATCTTCTTCAAAACCTCATTGCTAATGGCTCATGTGGGTCGTTTTTGGTCCCCTGAAGAAGATATGTTATTGGCTTGTTCATGGTTTGACGGTATAGAGACTCAATCACGTTAAACCTCCATACGATAACCTTTTGGAGGAGAGTCACCGAAAAATACAAATGCGAAGCCCCGATCCCTCGAGGTAAAGAAGAAATCTACTCCAAATGGAGACACGCAAACGCACTTAAAACTCAGTTTAACAGTATGTTTCGTAGGGTAATGCATGAAGTTTAATGGTGAAAATGAAAATACTTTGCCTATAAAATTCTCTTGAGGTTTGCCGTTGTTTGAAACTAACAAAATTTCCGATTGTTGAGTTTTGGCAATTGTGCGGCGGCCCCCAATTTTGCTCAAAATTTAAATTCATTGCCTTTTAATTTACGTTTTTTTTTCTAGCTTGTTATGTTTTTCAAGTTTAAGTGTGTATTAGTTTAATTTCAAATGTGTTTTTTTAAGTGTAAGTTTGTGATTGTGTTTGAAGTTAATGAAAATTTAGTTTTAAAAAAATAATATGTTTGAAATGTTTATTTTTTTCAATTAATTAATTTTAAAAAATATCATGGCAAGTGTGGCAACCCATGCCATGAAAATGGCAAAATTTTGAAGGAGTGTTGCAAAACTGATGTGACGCCTACGTGGACCGTGACAAGTGTGACACTATTCCCATCAGCCTAAGGAGGACCGTACAAAAATGGAATCACGACTAAGTGTAGTGGTGGACGTGTTTGGGTGTCAGGGTCCACCTAGATTCCACTTAAGATCTTATCATGGTGTCATCTTGAGAGAGAGAAGGAGAGGGAGAGGGAGAGGGAGAGGAGAGGGAGAGGGGGAGAGAGAGAGAGAGAGAGAGAGAGTTCTACCCCCTGTTCCAATCTTACACACACACACACTCAATATAATGCTACCCAATGTCCAAACTTAATTGAACTAAGCATCCCCTTTAGTTCTTAATGTATAAATACACGAGATTACAATATCCATAATGAGCCTCCAACGCAAATTTTCTGCCTATGTAATATCTTTACAATACAGAGTATAACTAACATTATTACAATAGATTATACAATATACTTTTTATCCAACTTAATTGGATCTAAGCATCCTTTATGCGTATTAGTTTATAAACTAGACTATATTACAATCCTTGTAATCAACTTCCAATATTAGTTCTCTTTAGCTAACACTATCCTAATTTAGTGTACATATTTAACACAAAGTAATATATATTCAATATACATTAATCTTTTCAGTGATATTACTTTTATTAAGATTATGATGTAAAAATATCATATATACACCTTAACACATATATAACCATATATGGTTCACATAGTGTATGTCATCAAATATATTTAACACATACTCCAAATAATAAGCATTTAATTCACATATTAGCTTTCAAAATATATTTAATATTGTTAATAAATATTTGTATTAAAATCATGTTCATGAAAGTAACTATGCACTCACTTAATTGATGTGTAATACTCACGGGAAAATTAGCTTCTTGACTGAAACTTCTGATTTTCCTATTTGAATTACCTAAATACGAATATTACTAAGTTTCAGTATTCATTTGTATCTATAAAATCATATTAAACATTCCCTACATTCCTCAATAATCCCAATGAATACTTCAAGTTCTATATGATATTACTAAGCTTCAGTATTCATTTGTATCTATAAAATCATATTAAACATTCCCTACATTCCTCAATAATCCCAATGAATACTTCAAGTTTAATCTGATTAGGAATAACCATGTAAGATCATATCGGAGGTAGCATCCGTTTGGTATACAAATTATAATGTTTGGAAAATCCACTTTAAACACCTCACTAGATATAGCCTAGACATCACTCCTGTAAGTAGATCAATCAATATTATAACTTGAATCACTGATAAATATTATTTATAGGTTCATAATAACGACTATGAATATAAATATAAGTTACACATAAAGCATAGTAAGTGCAACTTAACTTACAAAGTTTTATGAAAAAAGTTCGGAAAGTTCGCATGCAGAACTTCGATTCTGAAAATTTCTTTTTGTCGGGCCCTCTGATGCTTCAGAGCCTTGCTAAAGTAGTCGAAATCCTTAGAGGATTGGGCTTAGAATATGATAATTTCTCCTAGAGGGAATGGAGAGTATTGAAGCCAATTGGTGTGAGGAATGAGCAAAGTTCAGTTGTTGTTTATTGGTTGTCCAGGTTCGTGTCACGTCGTGGTTTATAGCATGCCACATTGTGGTGTTGCGTAGGCATCAAACAACGATTCTGGTGCTGAGACGTGGCATCAGATACAGGTAAATCTTCGAATCTTCAAAAATTTATATCGCCCACATACGAGCTGTAACGACGTAAATTTTCAAACCAAATTTTTCATTTTCAAACACAACTAAACACAAGTCACATTTCTCAAAAATCTCAAGTATCAAACATCAACACATTTTTCAAAAATTGTTTATCACAATCCAGGATCCTCCAAAAACATATCTCCAATGCAAGTGTGTGTACAATCAATATAGGGCCTTCCCGCGATCCTCGGTAGTACCTGAAACACATAACACATAACACGGTAAGCACAAAGCTTAGTGAGTTACCCAAAATACCCCACACATCATGTTACCCACTCGAGGCTAACTCAATACGACCCTTCGGTCAATGTATTCCAGTGGAGACCCTCCGATCCCACACTCGGGTGGACCCTCCGGTCCTAACTCAGTAAGCTCATAATAATAATAATACTCAACATAAATCACAAAGACATAATGCAGAATATCATAATACACAGATAAGCACATAAGACATCTCAGTCATACAAAGATACCACACATGGTAAGTATAGTGAGAAGACTCACCTCGTAAGCAAGTAAAGGTCTCGTACTCGGAAATCTCGAACTAGCCTCCGCCTAACACATAGGATAATTATCTCTAATTAATACTCTACTCATGCTCAAAATATATCAAGGGTTGTTCTATCTCTCTCTCTAACTTTTGTATGCGTAAAAGACCATTTTACCCCTCCATGGTCTCCACTATCCATATTTGACCAAACCCTAAAGTCAACAAAAATCAAACTCGAGTCAACAGTCCATGTTTGACTCGAATCGCCGAGTGCACCCATGTGACTTGTCGAGTCCACTTGTTTTCCTCAGAAGTCTCGTGAAGGTTCAACTCAGCTCGTCGATTTGACCCTCAACTCGTCGAG